ATGCATGCCTAGACCCAGACCGTACCTCAAATCTCTGACTCAGGCAATCTTGAATATGACATGAACGTTGAGATCAGAGCCCGGATGGTCCGTTGGAGATAAGAAAAACACAGATCAGACCTCCATGATGCAATCCCCTACACCCGTACATCTCACTCAAATCCTGTACCCACACTATTTTGACTATAACATCAAAATGAACATCTACGCTCTCGAAACAATCTTGAACATGACATAAACATAGACATCACGACCTACATGCTCCATTGGAGATAAGATCAACGTAGATCTGCGAAGTCGGGTGCTTTGCTAAAATAGACAATATCAAACGAAGGCCCAAACCGCGGCCCACACTCAGACATGTGACCCAATTCGAAGAATTCTAATGTTTTGACAATATCATCAATATCAACATCTCCATCACGAGGCAATCTTGAAGATAACGTGTACATAAATATCGGGACCCAGATATTCCGCTTCAGATAACATCAACACAGAAACGAAGAACCAAACGTTTTTTAAACAGGACAGTGTCTGCTGCATGCCTAGACCCAGACCGTACCCCAAATCTCTGACTCAGGTTGTTGCCCTGTATTACAATTTCGAATATAAGATCAGACCTTGACCAGGACCCTGACCGCGATTTATAAACCTAACCTCAAAATCAAAATTTGCATCTCGAGGCAATCTTGAACATGACATCAACATAGACATCAAGACCCGGATGCTCCATTGGAGATAAGATAAACACAAATCAGACCTTCACCAGTACCCTGACCCGTACATCTTACTCAAACCTTATGCCCACACTATTTTGACTATAACATCAAAATGAGCATGTGCATCCCGAGACAATCTTAAACATAACATCAACATAGACATCACGACTTGTGTGGTCCGTTGGAGATAAGATCAACGTAGATCTGCGAACCCGGGCGCTTCACTAAAATAGACAAATATCAAATGCAGGCCCATACCGCGACCCTTACCCGAACATGTGACCCAATTCGGACAGCTATGCTGTTTTGAGTATATCATCAAAATCCACATCTCCATCTCGAGGCAATCTTGAAGATGACATCAACATAGACATCGAGACCCACATATTCCGCTTCAGAACACATACACGAAGACCCAAACGGTTTTTAAAGAGGACAATGTCTATTGCATGCCTAGACCCTGACTGTACCTTAAATCTCGGACTGAGGTTGTTTCCCTGTAATACTATTTTAAATGTAAGATCAAACCTTGCCTATGACCGTAACCGAGACTTATAAACCTGACATCAGAATCAACATTTGCATCTCGAGGCAATCTTGAACATAACATCAACATAGACATCAGGGACCCGGATGCTCCGTTGGAGATAAGATAAACATAGATCAGACGTTTACTTGTACCCTAGCCCGTACATCTGACTCAAATCCAACATCTACACTATTTTGACTATAACATCAAAATCAACATGTGCATCTCGAGACAATCTTGAACATGACATCAACATAGATATCAAGACCCTGATGCTTTGTTGGATATGAAATCAACGGAGATCTGCGAACCAGACCGCTTTGCTGAAATGGATAATATGAAATGCAGGCCTAGACCCTGACCCTAACCCGAACCCTTACCCAAACCTTTAACTAAGAAACATCAACATGGATATAAGAACCCAGATGCACCGTTCAAAACAAGATTAACATAGACACGAAGACCCGGATGCCTTGTAAAAGAGAACAATGTCTTCTGCATGGCTTGACCCAAACCCTCACCCAAATCTCTGGCTCAGGTCATTACCTTGTATTACTTTTTTCAAAATAAGATCAGACCTTCACCAGGACTCTGACCTGCACTTCTAAGCCTAATCCTCAACCCACGCTACTTTGACTCTTCCTTCAAAATCAACACGCGCATATCGAGGCGACCCTGAAAAAAACGTCAACATAGGTATCGAGACCCAGATTCTCTGCCGAAGGTAAAATCAATAGAGAAATGGGAACCCGGACGCCTTTTTTATGTGAAGTTTTACTTTCACCACTGCCCTGCAATTCTATTTGGAATATAAAATTAGACCTTGACCACAACCCTCACCCGGACAAGTCACCCAAGTCGGACACCTATGCTATTTTGACTATATCATCAAAATCAACATTTCCATCTCGAGGCAATCTTGAACATGACATGAAAATTGACATCACAACCCAGACGCTCCGTTGGAGATAAGATAAACACGGATCAGACCTTCACCAGTACCCTAACCCGTACATCTCACTCAAATCCTATACCTATACTATTTTGACTATAACACCAAAATCAACATCTGCAATCCGAGACGATCTTGAACGTGACATCAACATAGACATCACGACCCGCATGCTCCATTGAAGATGAGATCAACTGACATCTGCAAGCTTGGGCGCTTTGCTAAAATAGACAATATGAAATGCAGGGTCAGACCGCGACCCTGACCTGGACAGGTGACCCAATTCGGACAGCTATGCTGTTTTGACTATATCATCAAAATCAACATCTCCAGATTGAGGCAATCTTAAAGATGGCATCAAGATGGACATTGGGACCCTGATATTCCATGTCAGATAAAATCAACATAGACACGAAGAACCATTCATTTTTTTAAGACGACCCCCTACTGCATGCCTAGACCCAGACCGTACCCCAAATCTCTGACTGAAGTTGTTGCCTTGTATTACTATTTTCAATATTAGATCAGACCTTGACCACGACCCTAACTGAGACTTATAAACCTAACATCAAAATCGACATTTGCATCTCGAGCCAATCTTGAACATGACATCAATTTAGACMTCAGGGACCKGGATGCTCCGTTGGAGATAAGATAAACACAGATCAGACCTTCACCAGTACCCTAACCCCTACATCTCACTCAAATCCTTTACCCACATTATTTTGACTATAACATCAAAATGAAAATGTATGCTCTCGAAACAATGTTGAACATGACATCAACATGTATGAAACGCAGGCCCAGCCTGCGACCCTGACTCGGACATGTGACCCAATTCGGACAGCTATGCTGTTTTGACAATATCATCAAAATCAACATCTCCATCTCGACACAATCTTGAAGATGACATCAACATAGACATCGGGACCCAGATATTCCGCTTCAGATAACATCAACATAGACACGAAGACCCAGACGTTTTTTAAAGAGGACAATGTCTGTTGCATGCCTAGACCCAGCATACATCTGCAACCTCGGGCGCTTCACTAAAATAGACAATATCAAATGCAGGGCCAGACCGCGACCTCGACGCGGACATGTGACCCAATTCGAACAGGTATTTTTGTTTTGACAATATCTACTGCCTAGACCCAGACCCTAACCCGGACCTCTGATTCAGGTCGCTGCCCTGTATTACTCTCTGAAATATAACATCTGATATTTAGCACGACCTTGATACGATTCCAACACCTGTGCTATTTTTACTACAACGTCAATATCAACATGTGTATTTCAAGCCAATCCTGCAGAAGAAATCAGCGTAGACATCGGGACCCTGAGGTTCCGTTGATATTGAGATTAATATAGATATGCGGACCCGAATGCCTTTTTCAAGTAAACTTTAACTTTGACCGCTGCCAGTATTGCTATTTGGAATATAAGATCAGACCTTGACCCCAACCCTGACTTCAACATCTGACCCAAGAGAAGAACCCATGTTATTTTGACCATAACAATCAAATCAACCTGTGTATTTCGAGGCAATCTTGAAGATGACATCAACGTCAACATCGTGACCCATGTGCTTTATTAAAGATGAGATCAAGATAGTTATGGGGACCCATATACTTTGTTAAAGTGGAGTCTTTCAAATGCTGGTTTTGACCCAAACCCATAACCGAGATCTTTGACTCGGGGCACTTCCCTACCTTCCCTACCTTACTGTTTTCAAAACGAATCAGACCTAGACCGAGACCTTAACCTGGACCTTTGACTCCGGTCGCTGCCCTGTAATGCTTTTTTGAATATAAGATCAGACAGACCCTGACCAAGACCCTAAACCGGACATGTGACCTAAGTCCAACACCTACGTTATTTTGACTATATCATCAAAATGAACATCTGCATCGATTTGAGGCAATCTTGAATATGACAACCCAAATGTTGCGTTGAATATAAGATGAATATTGATATGGGGACTCCAACACTTTGCGTCAGTGGACAATGCGAATTGTAGGTCTGGACCAATACCCCGAAAGCGGACCTTTGACTCCGACTGTTGCCCTTCCGTGTGCCTTTTAAATATAAGATGAAACCTTGACCAGACCTTTGACTTAGGTCGTTGCGCTGTTTTGCTATTTTAAATATAAGATCCGATCTTGACCAGAACCCTAAGACGAACTTTTGACCCAAATCCAACACCTTTGYTATTTTGACYAYAACATCAAATTCAACGTCWRCATCGTGGAAATCTTGAAGATTACATCAACGTAGACATCGACCCCTTTTATAAGTCCACAATATCAAATATAGGTATGGGTCAAAAACTAGTTTGTATGCTAAGTTCGTAATATAAACAATAGGCRTTACARAAGRAGCTYGTGGATGYATRACMAARAAACAGTRAAAAAACACAGTTCGTGGATACRTRASAAAGAAACAATAATGAARCACAATGAATTTCACKGCACCTGACAGCAAGGTCATATCTCCTTTATGTGGCCGCRGTGWGACGATGCCACAGGAGAGRAAATTTGTACCACTTACCRCTCGGTTGTTCACAACRTAATACACCACCTTGCAACACATACAAGCATCGAGCACGACACTTCRCACCRATCATCAAACRACCCTGCAAGAAAGATAACAAACACGAAACATGACAAAAAAATTAGAGGATAAAACTCATCGCATTTGTCTTACCGCCAGSTGCTCCCGGTTTCTGTTTCCCTTCCATGGGATSGATYGAACATCATGGGTYGCAACTCCTCTCCTTTCCTCTYGCTTTCGGTTCCCTTCTCGCTTACTACCTTTATCCGKTGCCTTSTTTGYCGACATTCCACCTCCTCCACAAACCTCTTMATCTTCCATGTTACTCCTCCACCCMTCTTTCGCTTTCCTTGTTTGTGTCCTCTTCGCTWAACTCCCCGTCTTCATCATTTTTTTCTTCCTCCTCCATTAYCGCGGCCTCAATTTCTTCGCGCCCCTCTCCCTTTCCCCCGCCGTGTGACATGATCTCCAGCTGCTCCGCTGCTTCTCTTCCGTGTGCCTCCGCGGAGGTGTCTGTCATCTCCGTATCCGACTCTTCYGCCGATTCCCATTTKTCCTCCCCTTCCTCCTCGCTCGACGACTCCTCTTCGTCCGCCGTTTCATATTCCTCCATTCTCACCTCCTCCATTTCTCCCCCCCCCTCTTCCTCTTCCTCATCCTCCGATGTGCTCGTCGTTCCATCGGCAGGCTCTTGCTCCCCCTYTGCCTCATCCTCTTCCTCATTTGGTATCCGTGCRTGAAYATTTYYGCTCCTATTTCTACCCTCCCTCTCCCACTTCTGTCCCTGTGCCCGCTCCTCCGTTCGCACCCTGTTTGCATGCGTGGTTCTCTTCATTTTTTCTCCCTCGGTTTCCTTCCCTTCCTTGTACTCCCATGGCCTTTGCATATCTTTCCAGATGTGAAGATTCAAGTCTTCCAACGACACATTCGCTTCCTGAAATGTGCTCATGCTAGTGAATTGATTGATACATGTGTCCACGTCCGCACCTGGACTGTCCCCCACCTCCGTGAAGAAACATCGGAGACAATCTCTGTAACTCGATTCGGACCTCGTCAAAGACGACCTTAAATTTGGGGCCGACATTGTCCTGACTCGCTCGAGCACCTCCTCTGCATGTTCCACTACACATTTTTGTGCGTCGTGGAGCTCCTCCCGCAGACAGCATGTGGGGTGCACACACGCAAACCCTTTTCGCACCAGGTCGTCCACGATGTTCCTCCATCCTTCTCCTTGACCTCCACATCTGCCACAATTCTGTCGTAGCAATCATCGTACCAAGGATCGAGGTAAGCGAGCTGTTGTCCTTGCCCCAGGAGTTTTGTCATGTTCAGCACATGTATGAGGAGGTTATGAATGAGCGCGTATTGTTTTCTCTCCATACCGTCTACGTGCGCGGGTCGTATGCGTTTCTCCGTCTCCCACAACCAAGGCGGCGGTTTTGGATGAAGTCTTTGACAATTCAGACAAGGATTCTCCCCGTCAGTGCTTCCGGTCCTCGAACCGCCGATCCTCACGACCATGTCGTCTAGGTCGGTGATTTGCACGATACTGCAACACGCGCCTCACGCTAGAGAACAAGAAACGTTTTTGCATGTGCCGTGTCGTTTGATGGCAGCCCTTGTCGTTCGTATCATGCCCTTTAAGAACTCCGGCATCACAAACCATGGGTTCTCCTCACCTCTTATCAACGCGTTCACCTCCTCATTGATTCTCGGACACCATTTCCACCTCTCCGATATGACTAATCCTATTGCTCCCTCCACATGGACCGTCACGTGCTTCTTATCGGGYGTCYTCGATGCTSGGATAAGCCTGAGGTAGGGGTGCTTCCAACAACTCTTGAATCCCGGTAGGAAACGATAGAGCTCCTTCAGAATATTTAATTTGAAGTCTCTCTCCTCTTCTCCCTCTTCCTGTCTCTTATACACATCTAGATGTGTATAAGAGACAGCTCTCCTCTTCTCCCTCTTCTCTGCCCGTCGCCTTCGCTTGCAAGAATGCTTTCGCACCGTTTTGCCCTGGTAAGTGCACCCACGACCTCAGCGACACATACTCTTCGTTTTCCCCCCGGTTCTCGTTGATTTTCTTCTTGATGCGGAACGCCACCCTCCCTTTCTCCATGAATGTTAAGTCCTTGGAGATCCCATTATGCATGGGAGCCTCGTCCGTGGTTGAGGCCCAGCGCTGGCTTAAAGTCGGCAACTCGTTTATCATGACCTACACGCTTGTGCACATGTGCAACACATCCAAAATGGGACGGGTAGCAAAAACCGGTTTCCCGCTGTATAGACTTGGTAGCCATGTCATAGCGTACTTTGCGAGCGTCGGTAAGGAGTTCGCAGTTGAAGGCCCCGCGCCAACTGCTCCTCCATCCACATCCGGATCCCTCCTTCCTTGTTGTGAGTTCTCATCCGAAGCCGCCTCGGGTGTCATCCCCGTTCTCCCCTCCGTGGCATATTCTCTGCTTCTTTCTCCCCTGCTGTCCCTCAAACCGTTGTGGCCTTCGCCGACCCCTTCTGCTGCACCCCTGCCCTCGTTTCCCGCCTCGTGTCTGCTTTCGTTATAAATGGTTGAATTGCGCCCCTCCTGAACACCAGTTGTTCTTCTTTCCCTCGCCTCTTCCCGTGCCCTGTTGCCTCCGTTGTTCCAGTCTTCGCCCCCTCTAAGAGATGGGGCATGGGGTGAACCCGCCTCCGTTTCCACTATTCTTGGAAGGACAATATGATGGTCGTCTTCTTCTGGTCCCTGCTCGCTCACGAGCGCTTCCCAAATTTCGCACGCTCGAATGGAAAACTTGTCCATCTGAATGACCATCAACCGGTTGTCCTCCACCCCTCCGTACCTCCCTTCTATCACGCGATGCTCTGATACAATTACGTATTCTACGGCCCGTCCGCGGTTCCCTTTCACCTGCGTCAGCCCGACACAAACAACAACATGAAGACTTGAGTCCTCGTCATTATTTTTCAACATGCGTACTCTCCTGCTCAAATCTGCCGCGTATTCCTTCGTCATCTTCCTCGAGGGCAAATCCACCTCCTCCCGTTCTGCTTCCTCCACCTCAAAAAAAGAAGTGGTGTTGATAAGCCTCAATATCGCTATAACCGGTTTCCTTTGCTCCTTCGCTGGCGGATTCAGCGCACCTCTCAGCACTCTTTGGACTTCCTTCTTTTCTATTGCGCCGGCATTTGCATAATCGCATGGCTCTTCAATATCACCCCTTTTAATTGAAAAACAACGACGCCAAAATAACCGCGCTCTGCCTCCCCCGTCGCCCGTCTCCAATGCCCCCAACATTATGGATGCACCCCCCGCCACCAACTCAAAAAATTGTCCTGCCTCCGAAAGGAACTCACCTCCGCATTGTCTGTGCAACCAGTAGGAGGGACTGCGTCTCCTCCCCTTGTCGCCCACCTCACCAGCTCCGATACACAAACACTTGTGCATGACCCTCCCAATTGGTCTTCATCCATAATCCCCTCTATCATGTCATCCAAAACGTGCTCCCTCCTCAGACTCTTGCAATGGTACGTCCTCACCTCTTCCAAAGGCACCACCTCACAGCGTAATGCAACGGACTCTCTCCAATTCTTAGGTTCTTTGAAGGTCGAACGACTCTCCAAAAATGGGATTGCCTCCTTCATGCGAAGTTTCATCCTCACGAAGTAGTCGCTCGGCCCTCTCACTGCCATGTCGGTCCCCCTGTCCATATCTTCTACAACCGCATCATACCCCTCCTGCACATCAACTTCACTCAGCGTAGCCTCGAGCACATCAACCACCGTATTGTATCCCATGTTCTTCTGTATGAGCTCCAAAACAGTAAGGAGAACGTCCATCACGGTGTAGCATTTGGAAGTGTCAGTTATTGTCCCCATCAGCGTCCCGTACATTGTTGGTGTGAATGGCTTCCTCCAGTCAATGCCTTTGTCAACTGTTGCTGCCTCCATTGAAACTTCACTCAAAAAGTTCAAATGCGTGTCAATAGCCAAGCACCCCTGAACTTCTGTGGTATGACACGTGCAGTTGCTTACACGTGATGATAATGATTATACCAGTTGTTTGTGAGCTGTTGGAGAGACCCGCACACACACACACAAACATTTTCAGTGTTACCCACACACTGACCCCTTACTCGAGACCGCAGTCAGCAACGAATCCAGATCTTACCAGAACCAGACAGCCTCGTGCAACTACATGAACCACACCTTTAGACCGGTAAGCTTGGACGTTTGATAATAAAAAAAAACAAAAAAAAAACAAACAAATGTTTAGACTAAGACACAGACCGAAACACGTACAAGAACCTGACCTTCAGACCCAGACAACGACTCCTTGGCACACACATCCTGCCAATTGCAGACCGAAATCTGTATACGAGCACCCCAAAGCCCAAAGACGACCCGAACCGAACCTTATTGAATGCTTGTAAGAGTACCAACTACAAACCAGTATATATTCGCCCAACCACTCAGCCGAATGCCTGCACAAGTGTCGACCGCAAACCCGAACACCTAAGCAACGCCCCATAAGCTCAGATTTGATGACGAATACCCAAACCAAAACAGCGACATGAACCTGAACTTCAGACCCGCATATTCAACGTTTAGCACATACATTCAACCAATTTGCAAACCGAAACCCTACACAAGTAACCTATGTGTCTATTCAACTGGCAACGGGAAAGTTTCAACTCCGTTGCACCCGTTGAATAGCCCCCAGGGGCCCATTGAATTCCCGTTGAATGGTACAACGGGCACTCCCCGTTGAATATTGTTCAACGGGGACGGTGCATTGGGCCTTGGACACGACGCTGGACGCACGTGAACCGAAAAAGAAATCATCCCCTTGAATCCCGTTGAATCCCCGTTGAACCCCCGTTGAATCCCCGTTGAATCCCGTTGAATCCCCGTTGAATCCCGTTGAAACACCGTTGAATCCCGTTGGAAAAAAAAACAGACATCGTCCAAAAATTCCGTAAAAAAACTACGTTATGCAGAAAAATAAACTGAACAACTTTTCCCTTAGGGTCACATCGAAAATCTTCACCAAATTTTAAAATAAAAAATAAAATATAACAATAAGTTTTTTCGGTTTTTTTTTTTTTTTTCCCCCGTCGTATGGTCGCGCCGCACCGCGCCGCGGCTGGAACGAAAAAAAAAACAAAAAAAACCATGTTTGCGCCACGGCCGAGATGTCTCGGCCACACCCCA